TAAATCGGTCAAAATAGATTTATAGAAATACTAGAAAAAACCCTGTCTGATTATAAAAAGAGACCGTCTGCTATCGAGCTAGCCATTTTTCAGTCCACTTTATATGTGCTACAATGATTTCTAATTAATATAATTGGTGACAGATTCATTTACTTTACCAGCTAAATTTTTAACTTCATTTTAAAATTTCTTTTGACAAGATTTTTTTTTACCCCCACCCCAGAAGTGATATGCACAGGTGTTCAAGTTTTCTTTATAGACTGTTCTTTCAGCCCTTCTGTGACTTGTCAGGGGTAACTACAAGTATGCGGAGCCACTGAATTTAACAGAAATTGCTGAAAAGTGACTGTAACTGGTCCTCTTTCACTACTAAATTTCATTGGACCTTCTGTAATAAGCAGTTAAATTAAGTTTTTGAATCTAGTTTTAAAGATTTCAGTGGTGTGCTCCACATTATTTATGAAAACTTTTAGCTTTCAATACAAATTTTTCAGTGAAAGGTGTAGACAAACCAATTGGATAATATTGAAGATTGAAAGGAAATTAGTAACAATGTGAAAGGTTAAACAACTAATCCATTTAACTGATAACTGGTTAGCTTACTGATTATTGTTTAGCATAGAGTGGGGTGCAGTCTGGTAGGGGGAGAGTGGAGATGGAAGCCACGCAGGAATTGGAAGACAGCAGGGCAGGAGGGAGGGAAGACCAAGGAGGAGTGAGGGAGTGACTAGTACCTGTAACTTTTGAGGTTAAAGAGGAAAACAACAGGTGGCCTAATGAGTCTTCAGTTAAGCAATTAGCTGCTCATTCACAGGTGCAACTTCCCTCCCAGGCCTCAGTTTCACATGGGCTGTGTTGTCTGGCTGGGCTTGCCACTGCCGCCTACCCTCACCCCCATCCTGTCAAAGGACCTCAGGCGTGGTTCCCAGCATTAACTGCGTCTGAGCTGCTGTGTCGGCAGTTAACCGTTTAACCAATATACTTAGAGGAGGTTAAACAGATAATTTTTTAAAACTATACTTGCATTCCTAATTAAGGAATTAGGTTGTGGTTTAAATCAGTTGTGGTTTACTGAGTGATCTCCAAACAATGTAGAGTCCAAGTGGTTGGATTGGCAATCTAGTGGTAGAGTGGATTGATATAAACGAGCATGTGGGAATGGACATAGACTGGGAATGAACTTCCTGGCCAGGTAGAAATAGCGATGTACCTTTTTCCTTTGTCTTGACTGCAAGACTGCCTAAGATTCATTTTGGGAAGTTTTCTCCCGTCTCTTAAACCAGGGGTGGTCAACCTGTGGTGCATGAACCACAAGTGGCACAGGAAGCCTATGACACACTTCAGATCAGGGAAGATGCAAGAGCATGGCTATTATGACTGTCGTCGTCTTTTTTGTTTAACTGAGTCCAGTTTTCAAAGTTTACCCAGGTTGCAAAATAGATCTGACTTGTCCTTATTTACCGATTTCCCCAGTTTATATCATCTGCCTAGCATTTTTCAGGTAGTCAATAGGATTTTAAATCGGTCAAAATAGATTTATAGAAATACTAGAAAAAACCCTGTCTGATTATAAAAAGAGACCGTCTGCTATCGAGCTAGCCATTTTTCAGTCCACTTTATATGTGCTACAATGATTTCTAATTAATATAATTGGTGACAGATTCATTTACTTTACCAGCTAAATTTTTAACTTCATTTTAAAATTTCTTTTGACAAGATTTTTTTTTACCCCCACCCCAGAAGTGATATGCACAGGTGTTCAAGTTTTCTTTATAGACTGTTCTTTCAGCCCTTCTGTGACTTGTCAGGGGTAACTACAAGTATGCGGAGCCACTGAATTTAACAGAAATTGCTGAAAAGTGACTGTAACTGGTCCTCTTTCACTACTAAATTTCATTGGACCTTCTGTAATAAGCAGTTAAATTAAGTTTTTGAATCTAGTTTTAAAGATTTCAGTGGTGTGCTCCACATTATTTATGAAAACTTTTAGCTTTCAATACAAATTTTTCAGTGAAAGGTGTAGACAAACCAATTGGATAATATTGAAGATTGAAAGGAAATTAGTAACAATGTGAAAGGTTAAACAACTAATCCATTTAACTGATAACTGGTTAGCTTACTGATTATTGTTTAGCATAGAGTGGGGTGCAGTCTGGTAGGGGGAGAGTGGAGATGGAAGCCACGCAGGAATTGGAAGACAGCAGGGCAGGAGGGAGGGAAGACCAAGGAGGAGTGAGGGAGTGACTAGTACCTGTAACTTTTGAGGTTAAAGAGGAAAACAACAGGTGGCCTAATGAGTCTTCAGTTAAGCAATTAGCTGCTCATTCACAGGTGCAACTTCCCTCCCAGGCCTCAGTTTCACATGGGCTGTGTTGTCTGGCTGGGCTTGCCACTGCCGCCTACCCTCACCCCCATCCTGTCAAAGGACCTCAGGCGTGGTTCCCAGCATTAACTGCGTCTGAGCTGCTGTGTCGGCAGTTAACCGTTTAACCAATATACTTAGAGGAGGTTAAACAGATAATTTTTTAAAACTATACTTGCATTCCTAATTAAGGAATTAGGTTGTGGTTTAAATCAGTTGTGGTTTACTGAGTGATCTCCAAACAATGTAGAGTCCAAGTGGTTGGATTGGCAATCTAGTGGTAGAGTGGATTGATATAAACGAGCATGTGGGAATGGACATAGACTGGGAATGAACTTCCTGGCCAGGTAGAAATAGCGATGTACCTTTTTCCTTTGTCTTGACTGCAAGACTGCCTAAGATTCATTTTGGGAAGTTTTCTCCCGTCTCTTAAACCAGGGGTGGTCAACCTGTGGTGCATGAACCACAAGTGGCACAGGAAGCCTATGACACACTTCAGATCAGGGAAGATGCAAGAGCATGGTGGTAGATAAGGTAGAAAGCAGTGCAGCAGATTGGGCAAGGGTAAGGGGAATAGAGTGGCACTTGGGAAGGGTGCATGGCTAAATTGTGACATGCTTGCCAAAAAGGTTGGCATGCATTGTCTTTAAACTCAGGCCAGAGACGGGCACTCATTTCTACCACCCAAGTATTTCTCTAAATTTCTTCAGGGAGCTGGAGCATACATGTATTCCAGCACCCTGGCTGGAGAGCTTCACAAGCACTCTCTCAAGGCAGGGGGTGATAGAGGGCTGCCTTTAGGAGGAGCCCATTGCCAGCCTGCCCTCACCCCTGCCTAAGAGGATAAGCTGTGAGTTGGCAGCTACTACAGACAGCCCAGGAAGGGTTCCCATCATGGGGGAAAAGCACCTCTCCTTGCCCCTGGAAACACTCAGTGGCACAGAGTGAGGTAGGGGCATTCTGCTCTGGCAGCAAGATTTGCCCCTACCTTTGGTGAGCCTTGCCACCATAGCACAGCAGCCTTCCTTACCCCATAGTGCCCCAGGTCAGTCCACAGCAGTGAGGATGCCATGGCAGGAGCCCCTTCTGGAAGAGTCCATGTTGTAGAAGGCCCCTTCTCCCATCAGTCCATTGATTTAATGGGGAGCTGTTTTGCAGTGGGAACCTGATCTGGGCGGATCAACCCTGGCAGTTAGCTGACTTGACAGAAGGAGGGCAGAATTTTTCAGGGAAGTCTCCCCTCAGGGCTCCCTTATGATTTGACCCATGGGCAGGCTGTCTTGGAGCTGGTGCTCTCCTTGGAGGGAGGAGGAATGGAGGACTGTGAGGATGTTGATTGTCTTTCACAACTGAGAGAAGAGTTCAGTCATTAGACTGGGAGAAGGGAGATCTTCCTCATAGGTAACTGATCTAAATTCTTTCAGGAGAGCCAGTAACCATCTGCAAGAAATCTTTTGAACAGCTACACATTCTCTTTTTCTACTGGGAGAGAGGCTGTAACACCTATTTATGGCCTCAGTGTTTGATCTCAACCTTTTTTGTGCCTGAGGGTTTTTTCCTTCTGTAAGTCAGAACAAGATGGCTGTCAGCTCCTTGATTCCTTCCAGGGGGCAGGAGTGGGGCACAGTCCAGTGTTAACCTTGTTGCAGCTGCTTTCAACTTCAGATTTTGACAATTTTTATCTAGTAGTAGGATATGTATGACTAATTTGGCACCTAACACAGTACCATGTGGGGGATGCATGGTATATTCCTCCCATTCTGCTTCTTGAAAGACAAAGAAGCTAGCAGCCACTTCCTAGCATTGTGACTTTATCCTCCTGTGCCTCCCTACAGTGATGTTCTGGTGGGTAGATACCATTGCAGTTATGGCAGTGGTAGTCTTGGGTACATTGGTTACAATTCATTGGTAAGTAGTTGTCAGCAGCAGTTTGCTTGTAAGCAGTGACCAGCTTTGGACCAAGCTAAGTTATGTTGATCTGCTGCTCCTCAAAGGTTGTTGACTCCTGTTCTAGTGAATTGCAATGTAGGCATAACTTTTTTTCTAAAAATTGGGACCTAACTGGGGTGGAGAAACAGGAGCCTGTAGAATGCATAGAAAGACTATTTTACACTGCCCTAATTTTAAAAGCAAATGTTACAAAGTGACATGTTGTAACTGTTGGGTCCCTGTGTGCATTATGAAGTTTTTAATGTGTCCTTGATAGCTTTTTGAGAACGTGTTTTCTACGTTAGTTCTTATCTGCCTGCATTCTGCATAGGCTCCTTCTAGAAATTTCAGAAGTCACGCAGCGCGGGCAAAATATGGCCCACAGACCAGATGTGGCCTGCCAGGTTGTTCTTTCTGGCCCGCAGAGCCCCTAGGTCCCTAAAAATTTAGAAAATTAATATTTATCTGCTCCTGGCTGCCTATTATGTGGCCCTTGATGGCTTGTCAAAGCTCAATAAGCGGCCCTCCACCCGAAATAATTGCCTGCCCCCGAGTTACAGGCTTGATGCATATTGTTGGCTGAAGTTCTTTGCTCTTTAAGTCAAAGTCCATGTTGATCATAATGGGTTCTCTTGGCATTAAAATTAATGGAAAAATCACCCATCTTAAGTAAATTATAACATGATTTGTTCTGAATATTTTTTTCTAGTTTGAAAACCTTGCAAGTATACTGAAACTGCCTGGCAAAAGGACTTTTAACAACATGGACAAAGAATTCTTAGAAAAAAGGAAAAAAGATCTAAATGCATATTTGCAGGTAAATCTTAATAACCTGGTTTTGAAGGTTTTCTTTTTTCCTTTGTGTTAAGGGTATCTGTAAGTTAACTTTTTCACCATGCAGTATTCAGAAATCTCAACAAAGGCATATGTGCTGGTATTTTGAATCTTAAGAAAAATCTTGCTTTGTTCCAAATAACTGTTGTAAATCCTGAATTTTAACTTGATTTAAGCCCAGTAGTCAGATTCTATGTAGATGCAGTAATTTACTTGAGGGATAGGTGGAGGGGAGAGATGCTCAGTTTTATAATATAACTATATCCTGTTATATAATACATGAGACTGGAGTAGCCTAAATAAAGGGAAGTGAATTACTTCAACATACCTTTTTAATATAACATAAGAACAATCATCTTTTATTCTGAGTAGTAAGCTTACTTTACTTTTTTCCCTATTAGTTTAATATTGTTCATTTTCCTCACTTCCATTATAACATTTGGGCGTAGTAACATTTCAGTTGAGATAAATACTAGGATATCTGAGTCTTCTCATTTAAGGCAAAATCACTAAACTGTCTAGTTTTTTCCGTTATCTGTTGCTAAATTTGGATATCTCCTTTCCGAGCAATTTGCTGTTGAACTGGTCTCCGTACCGTTTAACACTTGAGTACACTAGTTCAGGGGTTGGTAACCTATGGCCCATGGAGCCAAAAAATCTGGTCTCTGGAGCTAGGGCTTTGGTTGGATGCTTTGCCCATGCCAGACCACACTGCAGGCAGTGGGGGAAGGGGAGGCTCTGCCTGTGCTGGACCACGCTGTGCGGGGCAGCAAATAACAGCGACAGTGGCCAGTTTCTAGGACCAACCCAAGCTGGGCCATTTTGGCTTGCTGCCAGAAAACAATATTAACCTCTGCACTAGTTGACTTGATAGCTTAGTGCCATTTGGAAGTTTTTTTGTGTCCCAGTAAAATTGTAAAAAGGCTAAAAATAAGCAAAACATGCAATCTAACAGCTTTGTTTTGGCCAGATCCTTTTTTTGTGATAGATGGAAGAAAAAATATGGCACCCTCCTTTTTAATATTTTTAGTAAGTGTGGACTACAAGAAGATTGCAGCGAATTTTAGTAACAGTTTCTGCATATTCACAAAAGATATACCTTTCTTATGGAATTAATTATGCTTGATGGTGAAGAAGGGTCTTGCTTCATCCTTTATTTCAAGGTTTGCCTTGTCCACTGTTTAAAAAATAAACTAACTTATTTTCACAGATGCTGCATACTCTTTGTAATTGAATACAATATTCTGTGTTTTGTCATGAAATTGAACATTTTCCTTGTACTATGGTGGTTGTATTTTTAGGAAAAGTGGCTCAACTTACTATTCATCTCTTACTACTTAGCTGCTGTTAAATCCTGAAATGATGAAAGCTTCTCCAGCTCTGGCTCATTACGTATATGACTTCCTGGAGAATAAAGCCTACAGCAAAGGAAAAGGAGATTTTGCTCGGAAGGTAAGAATGACATCTAGGGTGCTTATATACATGCTCCCAGGTGTTTTAATTAAAATATTATAGCAGTGTCAAATGTCTAAGCCCCTGCAGTATTAAAAATGCCCACTGAGGTGCTTTAACTACAGGTCATTGAATGAGCTTAACCAAAACTTGTCAAATAAGTTTTAATTAAAGCATCCTGCAGCCATTTTTTAAGCGTATGGGGGGCTTAATACATGTGATGCTGCAGTGTTTTAGAGTGCCTCTCTGGGAACTGCTTTAATTAAAATGTCTACCTCTCGCCCTTGAGCATGTGTATAGGCACCCCTAAAGACCAAAAAGGATTTAGTGAGGCATTTGGTATCATGACTTGTTGAATTAATTCAGTATATCAGTAACTGATACCTGACATAAACCACAGTCTGCTATATTTGCAAACAATTTTCAGTTTGAATTGTATTAGTAATGTGCTAGGTGAAATGGCAACAGTATTTCAGGAAATGACAGCATAGGATTAAGAATTATTTTCACAGAATATTTATTTGTACATAAAGAACACCAGTGGGTATGGAATGTGCTATGTTTATGTGATGCAAGAATCTATTTCTGTTGATGATGAGTTACCTTCTTGTGAAAGAAATCAGTGACTCTGGACTCCACACCTATGTTGAATTCTACAGGATTCTACTATGATGATGGTCACACTCCAGCATATCCTTTTATAAGGCTGTTAACATTACTTCACATTTTAAGCCATCAATGATCAGAATGAGCATCCAAATTTTGAAATTTGGAAATCAAAGCTGTGTATCTTCATAGTAACGCTGTCAGAATTCACAATTGTGTGCAAGAATTGGGTATCTTCAAGTGGGATTTTTTTGCTCAGTTACCCATTTTTATGCAGGTAGATCCTTTTATAAACTTAGGTCCTTGTTATTCCCAAGCTTCCACTGACTTGTATGGCTCACATCTTAAACTGTTCATTTAAGTAATTTTAATTTTTGTTTCAACTAAAGACCTGAATTGACAACTCTGTAGCTGACTACAAAAAATACCTTCAGTTAATTCAGAGCTGTGTAATAGTTAACAATAGCTGTTTTTCTTTCTAAATTTTATTTGGATCCTTTATAACCGCCTTTCATGTCTTTGGGCTGGTGTTTCTTACAGGGTACTCAAAGTATGCATTTAAAAAATGAGCAGAACAATTGCATTCTCTAGAAAATAGCGAACTAAAAAACAATACATGTGTAATACTGACCATGTTAGGTGTAAAAATAGGACTGTAGGGCCATTTTAGACTAAATATAGTTCAGGAAGAAGATGGAGAGAACAATGGAGGACTGCTTCTAGAAGAAGGAAGTCTGGCAGAGAAGAGAGAGGTGTACCAGAAATGGAAAAATGTCTGTCCAAGCTAGCATTATGAACAAAGGTGTAAATAAGAGCAGAGAAAGGACAGTACATAAGGGATTAAACTGGTGTAGTCTGTTTTATTAGAAACATTAGGGAACTGTGAGTGAAACTAACTGCATTCAGTAGGGAACTTCAGCTCTTGAAGCAGTATTTTTACAAGTTGCCAAAATCATGTAATTGGAGAAAATATTTTTGTGTGTATTAAGCTTACTTGGTGCAAAAAAAGTATCAAGAACTAATGTAGAATGCCAAAAATTGTAGTATATGCCTTATAGACCAATAATTCTACCAATATCTTGTTCAATACTTGCTCTCTGTTTATAGTATAATAACAGTTTCCCACTGGAAGTTTGTGCATGTAAAGAATAAGAACAATCTTCAGGATTTATTTTTATCCACTAAGTTCTGAAGCAGAGCTCTGAACTCCTTTCAGTAAAACGATAACTAATTGCAAGAGGTGAAATCCCTTACACTGTGGTTAGGATAACTCATTCATTTTTTGTCCAAATTGAATTTTGTTTCCAGTATTGTTGAAAACATGAAGTTAAAATGTTGGCCATCTACTGTCTCCATGGGACTTTCATATTCTAAATGAGAGTTGTACTGTACAATTAGTTGGCTCTCTTGAATAGTATGACTTCAGACTGAGAGTTGTACTGGTGTCATACTAAGGTTTTCCCCTTCAGATGGACACATTCGTAAACCCACTGCGTAACTCTATGAGAAATATGTCAAATGCTGTCAAGTCGCTCCCCGATAGCCTGGCAGAGGGAGTGACTAAAATGTCGGACAACATGGGCAGGATGTCAGAAAGGTTGGGACAAGACCTAAAGCAATCTTTTTTCAAGGTAAGATTTATATCTAAAAGCGTACTTTTAAAACCTATATATTGACTAGAAGAAACTTGGTATGGAAACATGTAAATTACAAAAGAAGCAGTGTAAGAGCTAACTAATTTTACAGGCAGGGTCAGTTGGATATGGTACAAAAACCACCTTTTTGCTAGCTAGCATTTGTCCTATCATTGTATTCTTCCCAAATCTTACCAGTTGATCTTTGGACATTTCTGTCTTTTTTTTTTTTTTTTTTTTTTTTCCTTGACCTTAACCACAGTAATCTAACAGATATTCAAGTTGGAGAGAAGGAGTAAATGCTCTTTCTATACCAAAGCCAGTTTGTTTCAGCCCTATGGAGCAGCTCTGTATAATTCAATAGGGATTGAGCCAATAAGGCCTCCTAGACTGTTTTTAATAGGATTCTACAGAAAGTACTTTTAAAACCCTGTGGCATTTGATAGAGAAGTGTTCTGTATCTTAGAATAAATAGCCTGTTAAAATCCGTAGTCACTGTCAGAGATCATTCCCTATTAAATTCAATACCATGACTTAAAAATAATTAAAATAATGTTTCTCTGCAGAGCATTTTCATACCAATAAGTAGTTGCACCTGTATTGCTTTTAGTGGAATAACTTTAATTCCAGGTCCTCAAATAAATTTGCCTTTAGAACAGAGCTCTTAACTCAGTTTTCAGTTGATCTATCATTACTAACCTACTCCTGCTCTCACATCTGATCTAGCATTCCTAAAATGAACACACTAAGAGTACAAAAAAGTAAGAGGTAAACTTACTTTCATACATTTTACTTTTAGTCTTCCACCTCCCCCTGCGCACATGTTGGGCACACATGCTTCTTTGCAGCTAAAACTGACATTTTTTCCAGGCAAGGATTCTTGCACAGTCATGTCCTCAAAGTACCTAGTACATTTGACTCACCTGTAGATATAACTATATAGCAGAAGTAAGAGGAAATGAGCAGGAAAAGGGGAAGGGTTAGTCCAACATATGTATTATCTTTTATTCGTAAGGCTGGTTGCAGACATTAAAAAAAACAAAAAAATCTCAAAACCCCCAAACAATGGTGCTTTACTTATAACTCCATGCGCTCCTGTGCCAAGCCCAACACACTCCCAGAAGAGGCAGTACGTTAGTTGAACCTGGCTCACCCAATTCCTATATAGATTGGGAGCTTTTATCTAATAGTTGATTGAATCAGCTATTGGATAAAAGTGCCAAATAGCCCTGCTGAAGCATCTGATCTATACAGATGCTGTGGAACCCAATCAAAACAATGCACTGCTGCTTCTGGTAAAGCAGTGTTTTAAATGTCTGCAGGCAGCCTAAGGAACTAAGTGAGGCGAATATCAGTAGGTTACCTGTTGCGCAAAATAGCATCTGCAGTATGCTCAGCGACAGTTTTGGGTATGAGCTGAGGTCAGGAAAATTATACTTGCTCAGTGTTTGCTATATAATAGTGGCTTTTCAGTTTCTGCTGAAATACCGGTCCTTATTTGAGAAGATTCGGAACTAAACAGACTGCTTGTTTCTCCCTTCTAAATCTTATGTTTATTTTTAGCTTGAGGGTATTTATATAGCTTTTGTATCTGTGTTGGGAGTAGGGATGTAGGGGGAGGATGTGTAATTAGGGATTTAGAGGGGGGATAGCTGAAAATATGTATGTATTAGAAAGTTCAAGACATTCTAACATTATAAAACATTATACATGCTTGTATTGGAAAAGAAATTTTAAAATTGGTTCTTACTCTTCTACTTGTGGCTTTCTTGGATCATTTAATTTCCCATCACCTAATCATGGGTTTTTTTGCAATCAGGTGCCTCCTTTATTTCAGAAACCTGATTCAGATTCGGAACACTGCCGGGTTGGTGCACAACTTGATGATAATGTGAGTCTGACTTGATTTTTCAAGTGTATATTATTCTAACTGTTAAAATGACATGCTTTTTTATAGTAAACTATTTGCCAGCTATTGTAAATTGTTTTTATTAATGAGATTATGCCAAAGGGAGAATTGTAAATATTTTTCTAAAATGCATCTAACATACATCATTCCAAAATGTTTAGAGGCTATATTAATACTAAGCAGCTTACTTACTGTTATAGTGAATGATTTACCTGCTACCAGTGCTTTCAGCTTTCCTACTATCATATGAGAGAGTATCATTAGCATTTTGATAAACATTGAATTGAGACGATTCGTTGTTCTAGCAGACATCAGTATAGTTGATCAAAGATAAATATTTAATAAAAGGTTATTGCTTCAGAACTTTTTCAGACTTTAAGTATATAGATGCTGAAATACATAAAGGAAAATATTAGAAATGTGATAGTGAAGTTTAAAATGCTAAGCTCTTGATGTTCTCAATAAGCTATGGTATTTTTCCCACTATTTTGATTGAAACACTGATCATATGTGAAACACAGTTGAAAAAAATCTTTTATCTTTAACTAGGACAGAAGGACCATAAGATTATTAGTGATTATATGCAGATTTGTCATGGTCATAAATCTGCACCTGTTCTACAGTTCACATTTTTATTTGTCACATCAAAGCATTCCAGTTTGTCTTCCTGTGCATAACTGCTACCATGACTATGGTAAATGCCTTTTTTGCTCAAGTAACATAAGCTTTTGATTCTTTTTGTTTTGCATGTTCATCTGATACAGTTTTATATTTGACATTCTTATACTAGTAGACTTACATTTTTCTCAGTTGGAGCAAATTAATATTATACAGGTAGAGTATATATAATGTGACTTTGCAAATATGATGTTGACCTGGTTGCAATTAGTTAAAGATACTAAGAGCCTGAATTTTTGGGGTATTATGCAGTTGTTCAACTTCTTGAAAGAAGTATTAGCATTGACTTTTTAGTCTCAAATTTAATGTTTAGTGTAGGACTTCACAATTTTGAATTGTGTATCATTTAAAGACAGTAAAAAAGGGCCATAGGGACTAAGCACTATCTGATCTTAACGCACATCCAGGAAACTTGTAGTAAAGTATTAAATGAAGTAGTTTGCCATATTTGTTGTCATTGTAAAGGGTTGCTATTGTAAGGGAGGCTTAATGGGCTTCATATCATTAATTAAATTGTAAACTGGCCAACAGGTTAAAAACAGATGCCTTATCTTAAATTCTTTAAACGTTTATCAAAGGCATGTAGATATGGGGTTTTCAAAAATGTAAACCACCAAGTTGTCAGTGGGCATTTGAAAACTTAGCTGCTAACTTAAACTGACTAAATAGAATCAGATTTTCTTCTTTAAGCAATCCCTATGGACTGAGATGTCAAATTTGTGTGAACTGGGCACCTAAATCCCATGTGCTTCTTAGTTGGAGGTTTGCTGTTTTTCACAGTCTTGAGTTTAGTTTGTGTGTGTGCAAATTTTGCTCTTGGCTGCATAACTTTGCTGACAGTGAAGACCTTAGCAACTTTGCTGATGAGTGGAGGGACACAGATATATCTAAGAAAAAAATTGTCTCTGCAGGTATTGATTAGTTACTAAGGGAGGCTAACTTATGTATCAACTGCGGTGCTAAGAGGAATAAAATGTAGTATTTGCATATTCCTGTTTAGTCACTTCAGGGTAGTGCCACAGCGGAAGGTTTTTTATTATTCTCAAAATTTGAAGTTCTTTTACATTAGTCTGGGGAGATAAATCAGTCTAAGTTGGAGGTTTGCTAAGGGCTGATTGGATGCATGTACAATTCGGTTAATGATACTAATTGACAATAATCCAAGGTATTGGGTTAATATTACAATTATTTTTTAATACCAGAATAGGAATGTGCCAGAAACAAGTTGGCTGACTTCATTTTTGTTGCAACTGTTTTAGACAAGTTGTGAGATTATGTCAATATTTTTGTGTGAAAAATTACACATTTGACTGACAGACATGCTCTGAAAACTTGTATTTGGCACATGTAAGCTACTACATTTGGATAATGCAACCTATAAACGACCCTGTAAGGGAACACTTTAGGATTTCAGATTTTAACCATTACATTTATTCCTTCTACAGTTGTAAGCAACAATGTAAGATAGAAGTCAAGCTTAATGAATATAAATACAGTATAGCCTCATAAATCCAGTATGCTCAGGACTGAGCACCTGCCGGAAATTTGAAAATTCCGTATTTTTGAAACCAGAGCCGTGGCCGGTCATAGGGGGAGGGCAGGGGAGTAGCAGTGGCTGCACACAGAGCAGCAGTGCGGGGTGGTACATGTCAACGGCAACCATCGCATGCAGGCTTCCTCCTCTGCTGCTCCAGGAGCGGCCATCACTTCCCCTCTGCTTAGATTCTCGGATTTTTGGTATCCGGATTTATGAGGTTATACTGTATTTAAAAAATAATGGTCTACAAATTGCATTATGCAAATCATTCAATCTAGAAATATACGGAATCATTTGAAAACTCCCGACACATTGTTTCCTTGCTATTTTTGGGGTGCCATTCACTTCCATCCAGGCATTTATTACGTTTTGAGCTAAACTGTTTTCATTCGATAAAATGCATCAGGAGCAGAGAGGCCATATCCCATGCCACTGCCTCCAAGGAATGCCTACTGTGATGCCTTCCAACAAAGATGCTTCTCTTTTGGTAGTTTTGTAGCTGCTGTGCCGGTCAAATAGGATCATGTAGAGTGACTTTGACATTGTAAAAGAGGAGAATAGGATCTGGGTCAGGGTTTGTAGAACCCCCAAGCACCTGGAAAGTTGCTTCTGTATTAGACTAGGAACTCAGGCAATAAAAACTTGGTTTTTGCAGCAATTCAGGACTAGTATGTCATGGGGCGTTTTCCATTCAGAGCTACTGTTACTGCTGCTGTTGTGCTTAAATAAAAAAGAACTTGAATAAAATAATATTTAGGCTTCCTCCTATCACTTCTTTAAAGCACTGTTGCTACCTTTTAAGAGGAGCATAAGAAACTACTCCAGTTGCTAGCTGCCAGGTTCTGACTGGTTTTGTGGCGATGCAGCAGGTCTTTCTCCATGCCTAACTTTTTAAAGTCTAAACAAATCTTTTTTTTTTTTTTTTAATCTTCCCAGCATTCGGTCACTTGTGGTATGTATCAGACCGGAGCAAACTTGAAAATGTTGACTTTTTTTCAAAAGATGGTGTATTTTAAACAATAGTAGAAGTGAGTGCTGCCCTTCAATAATTATTGGTACTGATATAATTGCTTGAGTTCGAATATAGATTTACTCTTTTCTTTTTTTCTTTCTGCTTTATTTCTTTCCCCTTATGACTAGGTGGATGACAATATTCCTCTAAGAATAATGTTGCTGCTTATGGATGAAGTCTTTGACTTAAAGGAGAGAAATCAGTGGTTAAGAAGAAATATTAAAAACCTACTTCAGCAGCTGATTAGAGCAACATATGGAGACACAATCAATAAGTACAGTGTTTTATTTCTGCTCAGTTTCTTTATTTAACTTTGGGTCATGTAAAGAAGAAAATCAATTTGATCAGTGAAGTATATTTGTTTACACTCTTGAAAATGCAAGCTCACAAATGCAGCACAACTCGGTGTATTCTTTCAAAGTAATTATCTCTGTTTATGAAGATGGAGTAAGAAGGACCATCTTAAAAATTATTATGCAATACATAATGTAACTTGTTTAAACATTAAATGTGTCTAATTGCAAGCCAGGTAAGGGATTTCTGAAATGGAATATGTTCTAGTAAATGTTAATATACAGAGTTTACACTTTAGAAAACAAATTTTAATATGAGCATTATCGCAACTTCTGTAAGATTAACAAGTACATTATAATAAGTAAATTATATTTTACTACTTGCACTGCTACCAGTTAAGCTGCAGGATGATCCTGAAGCTAAGGCACTATCATCACCAATATAGTTCTGTGTGATAAGTACAACATAGAATTGTTTTCTGCTTCAGTGTTTTAAATAGTTTGAATTATGTAAATTATTTTCTTAGAAGTTACATCAGCTATCATTATTTTCAAAAGGTCATAATTATAGAGACGCATGCAGATTAGTTTAATACTTATTCAGTCTTTTGTAAGAGGAGAAAGCACTATTGTAATATCCTTATTCACTCTGCTAATAATATTTGATCAAATGAGTACCAAGTCAACCTACCAGAATGCAGGAGGCAAGGAATTTTATATGAAAAATCAATTTTGCTCACCCTCCTCAGTCTGGAAGCAAATCTATACCCCTCCCCAGACTTTGCCTCTAATACTGTTACTTCTAAAATGTATACAAAATAAACAGGATAAAGAACAGTAAAAAGGAGTCTCTTATGCTAGACTTGATTACACCAGACACTAGATTCTGTCACTTGAAGTAACCTCCACAATTCTGAGTTGCATCACATGAGTGAGGGAATGGTTTCCTAACCTCATAGGATTCAAGGTTTAGGCTACAGGTCTACCTTATTGAAAATGAACTCACTTTTTGACTGTCATCACCTTGGAGCTCTGTGTGCCAGGTGGCTTCAACTATATTACTAGCATGCACATGCACAGTAAGACCACTTCAGTGCCTTTGACACAGCCATTCTCCCTAGGACCTATCGTTATGTGGATTTGCCCTTTTACATTCCACACTTGTGTTGGAGTGCTCTTCAGTTTGGTCCATATTTGTAATCCTAGTGACAGTTTCTACAGGGGCTTCCTAACTATACATCAAGCTATGTATGAGTCTAGTTTATGGGCTGTTGCTGCTGTTCATGCTCAGACACCCTGCTCTTGCTTTCCCTATAAGGCCCCATAGTTCCATCCGATTCTCCAAGATGGAATTTGTTGTTAATGTACCTTTAACTGCTTAATCATGAGCTCTCGTGATAGTTTTAGCACCAACTAGATTACTACTGATCTCTTATCTGGCCACTGTGCTTATTTTGCAAGGGCCAAACAGTTACCTGTGCTTCAGATGCTGAAAGCTCTGTCTATCCCTAACCCAACTGTCAGAATTTCTAGCCTTTACAAAAAAAAAAAAGTGGCATGGAAATGTAGTACTGTATTTTCAGTATGGAAAACTGAAAGTAAGGAGCATAGGATTGCATGTGTTTGGTGTGCATGTGCACACACAATGTTATTGATCTTCATTTACTTCAAACTTGCTATACTTGAAGCTGCACCTGGTACTTCAGTATGCTCCAGAAATCTAGCCACCCAGTTCACTTTATTAGAGTGATTGCTTTATCTATACTTTAAGCAGAAGGCCACACTAAACAGGTGAGGAGTTTTTAAATCCTTGCTAGAAAGGTATCTTGACACTTTATTTTTTTTTTTTTTTTTAATATTAAGGTGCCAGGTACTCTTTTTCCAATATGTCTGTGATCTTAGTCAGGAAATCAGGCAGCGGAAATCTCTTCCATCATTACTTGGTGCAGACCATCTGATTGGTCTGGTTCTGCAGATACTTGGGTTTACTATCATACTGTAGTGAAACACATCCCCCCTGCCAGTTTTAAAATGTGATTCTTTTTTTCCTCAGTAAAGTGGTCCTTTAATTTATGCATGGATTTGGGGGGAAATGCAAGTACTTGAAGTAGTGTTTGGTTCTTGATCCATGTATCTTTCTTGTAAAAGGAGGCCAGAACTTTTGTCTACTTTATATCCTACCTCCTTTCAAAATATAGTAATAGAAAGATCTTTTTTGAAGCACACAGCTGATGTATATACTTCAAGGTTTTTGACAAGTTAAGCCTTTTTTTACTCTGAGAGGAAAATAGGAAAAACTTACAGCAAGCTATCAAATGCTAGCCTGGGTTGTAGTCTTTGGCCTACTGCATCACTTTCCTGTTTATGTTGGTAAAAGTACTGAACTTCAGAAGAACCCTAAAGAGAGAAGGCAGGAAGAAATATAGTGAAGGTCTGAGAATTAACACTTGGCTTACCTTTGTGATAGTTTCATGGAATGCACTTATTGGGGGACAAGGAAAAGAGCTTTTTTGTCAAATATTTTTTCAAGTCTTAATTACACTGAAGTACCATTTACTTATACTGTGCTCTGCTCTCCTTTCCCTTCCTTTAATAGTTAAATGAGGGGTCGCTGACTTACATTGTTTAATTTTTTTTTAGAAAAATAGTTGAACATGTCGACTGGATGACCTCTTCTGAGCAAGTAGCAGATTCAGTTAAGCGCTTCAGGTAAGCCACTTGTTTTAGTAGCCTTAATTCAAGTCTGTAACAGCCATGTCTGTCAGTTAAAACGTAATGATGCTGTCCCCTCCTCAGCATGAAGTGCAGCTAAATATTTTAAGATTTCAGTGCCCATGCAAGCAGAGGGACTTGAACTTTGCTCCAGGAGCTTGCTAATAATATTCAAACTTCCTTTTGTTGGCTAGAGAAACCTTGCACTATATCTGTATCGCTTAAAACACTGTCCTTGAAAGTCTCAAACAAATGTTGCTGTTACAAGAATAGTATGAATTCTTCAGAAACATGTATTTGTCATTTGCAAGACTGCTTGTTTTACAAAAACGAAAAACAGCAACCCTGGATGTGAATATTTCATCAGAGGAAATAAGTGCTTAAAGGTACAAAGTTGGTACTGCATAAATCCAGTAACAAAGGGTCTGTGACATTTCATCCCTGGTTTCTGGATATTCTCTCATTCTGTATAGATGCAAATCTCTGAACAGGGCTCTGTTGTAGAGATTTTGTCTCGCTGAGTTTTTGTTTTTCTGTAGAGAATAACTACCCTGATTGTGATGTTTTATTCATGGCCAAGGTCAGAACAGATCTAACTGGTTTATCAGCAGTTTGCACATGAATGATGAGATTCAGTATGAACCCCTTTGTAAAAAGTTAAATATCTTTAAAAGAAAATAATTTATAAATAAGCTGCATCTTCTAATTATGACTTTCCTCTATGTAACAGAGTGCCTATGACTTATACATAAATTAAAGACAAATTAGTAAAGGCCATAGCAAAGTATTTAACTTAAGAATTTTAGTTCCAAAGATGACCTAAAAATTTAAATGTTTAGCTTTTCTTTTTAACAATATCAAAAGGGGAGTGTGCTTGTTCACTCGATTTCAAAGCTGACTACTTAGATGACTTTCTTCAGGTTTTTTTTTTTTCTACTGAGTTGATCAGTTTTAATAAGACTGAAAGTGGTTGTGTTCTCCTAACTTTATGGAGGTGAGCTCCTCCAGGAATTTGTTCAGGTCAAAAGCAAAAACAGCACCATCCAGTGCAGGATGTTTTGAACCAGTCATGCACTTGTTTCTTACTCTGAGCATATTTGAACCCTACAGCCTTTTTAAAGAAATAGATTTACTGGTGTAAAGTATAAATAAGTTACTTGCAACTAAATAACTTCAACTAGATGGAGAAGGGAAGGGATGTGTTTCTCCCCAAAATATTTGTAATTGACTCATTACTGGAAAATAGTACGAGAAGGAATTTCGTCTTTAAATTAAATGGTAAGCAAGGATTTTCTTATGCTATGCGTTCTGAAATCTCATCATTATAAGTAGATACGATTCTTGCCTAATCATCCAGTTAACCTACGAAGGCATTTTGTTTGCTTACTTTATACTATTTAAGTCAGTATTACAGAATACTGATTCTTTTTACAAGAACTGGGATTTTTGATTTATTTGAAGCGGTTTGTATTTGTTACAGAGATGCCTTTTGGCCCAATGGCATTTTAGCAGAAACTGTTCCATGCAGAGATAAAGCTATTAGAATGCGAACAAGAGTAGCAGGGAAAACTAAACTACTGGAAGTAATGCCAGGTAAGCAAGTTTTTAGAATTTAAGCAAGATGTAGCATTACCAGTATAACACTTGAAGATGTTTCCTTGCTTGGTGGTTTTCTTGTTTGTTTGATTTGCAGCTGGAGACTTCTAGCTGGGTGTAACAACCTTTATTAAAGAAGTAAAGGGAACCGAAGCATTAAATAGCAAATGTATAAATGAATAACTGTTTAAGGCAGTAGTCTAACTGAATATTTTAATATTTGTAGCGTAGTCTGGAGGTTGTGATTGCTATTTTTCCTTAAAGCGATTTACATCTAGTTTATCTGAGACTTAAAGTTACTTAAGTATATATGCAGTATATCTGGTAGAGGACAGGGCAGGTTTACACCTTTTTAGATGGTAACTGGCTCAGGCATGAGCTTTCAAAGGCAGCAACCTACTTCTATCAAATATGTATTATCTGAAGCTTGTACCTGTCTGAACCAGTCAGGTACAGTGTAGGACATGTTGGACCTTTGAGACTAATACAGCTATCCACCTGTGTAGGTACAAAAACCTAAGAAAATATAAGAGCATTATTTCACATAAATATGACACACAGTTCAAGTCACATCCATGTGACAATAGGGAAAATTTTTCTTGGTGTTCCTCTGAAATTCTAGATGCCCTAACTTATTCCTTTTTAAAAACCTTTTCATGAGTAGAGAGAGGTAGTTAACTGTTAGTCTGAAGTCGGGCAGAAGGCAGGGCTGGGTGACACCTTAGACTATTTGGTTCAGAGACGCAAACTTTCATAGGTAACAGCCTACATCATCAGATTCTGAAGTAGGCTGTCACCTGTAGAGCTTAGACTCCAAATAAGTTAATATCTAAGGTGCTGCCCCTGCCTTCTGCCTGCAATCCCTTCCAATAAGAGCTTGTACTAGTACCTTTGGTTAATGCTTATTTTCTATTCAGTTAAATGTTTTATATAATTCTTTTTTAGATGAACTGAAGCACATCATAGGTGCTGAGACGACACGGAAAGGCATACTCCGAGTCTTTGAAATGTTTCAGCACACCCAACTAAATAAGAGAATGGTATATGTGTTTCTAGAGGGCTTCCTAGAAACCTTATTTCCACAATATAAAATCCGTGAGCTCTTCAACAAACTGCATTCACACTCAAAGCAGATGGAGAAATACAAGCAGAGACTACAGTTTCCTCAAGCGCCTTCCTTACAGAAAAGGTGACACTCCAAACTAAGCTGGTGTCTGTTTGTCCAGGACTACTGACTTGGGCAGGTTCTCTGGGGCTTAAAACTCACATGCTGTTATTTCTGCACCAGTCTTAGTGTCACATAGTTTATTAATGTATCCATAAGACCTGTGGATCTTCTCATTCTCACCTTTTAATACAACCACTACTGCAAGGAGTTTGTCTTAAATGATTTGGTGCGTCTTCATGCAACATTGAGAAGAGTACTGACCCATTACGTAAGAATATTGGTTCCTTCCGTTCCTGATTGAATCGGTGATTGCCAGCAATGAAAAGTGCCAGACTATTTGAGGATTAAGTAAAGCACAACGACAGTAATGTTGGAAGATTTGGCTAGTTTGGCACCGGGAGATTTGTGCAATGTTTGAAAATTTCATGTGGTTTGTTTTCCATTGATTGAGGCTTTATTGCTGTTGATCAATATACCTGTAAAGGCTGAGCTAACAAGAAAAAGTATCCATGGAATAGCTGGTTCTGGAAAAATTAAATTGCAGTATGTCCCAAAACGTATATTTAATTGAGTACAGGCTGAGAGCTTTTATACCACAACTAATTTCACTGCTGTATTTTGAAAAAGAAATTTAGCATTAGATCTTGTTTGGGTTGGTTCAGTGGTGTAAGGCAGAGGTGCAGTAGAAATAGTTTGTTTTGATGATTTTATAACTTTAAGGGCCCTATTCTGCTCTTCAGGCACATGACATCTTGCATGCAGTCTAAATTGGAACGGGGCATACATTTTTCCTTCAAATTGTGCAATTGGTATATTTTTGGGGGGGCATTTCAAGCAAGGTGGCTATAGCAGGAGAGGGCTACATGTTCCAAACAGGGTAGACACCACATTAAAAGATAAATTTGCACTAACAAGCAACTTATACACAGTTCTCATAGTAAAATATAAAATTATTTTTAAAAACCCATTATATTGTATTTCATTTAAAATTGCCCTAGTTTTAAGTATATAAACCTCACATAGAAAAATGCCAGAATTATTTTGGTTCCTCACTTGCACAAAATTATTCTAGACTTCATTAAACAGTCATGCAAGCCTTTGGAAATTTACTGAATATCACAGTGTATATATGAAAATAAAAGTACAATTACAATATTTTTTTAAACAATCTTTTTTTATTTTTTGCATAATGTAAAATTTTAATAAATAAGCTGTTCTACACTGAGGCCCCAAATCTATCCCTTAATGTCCATAAAAAAATTAATACGTATGCAAGACTAAAGTGATTGATCATATTCGTTTGGCCATAGTATACCTTGGAGTTCTCATTCTCTCTTTTTTTTGGACTCCTCATATGTTTTCAGCACCACTACAGAAGACAGTAAAAGGTAACCCTATCTAATTCATCATATAGAATTTTTTTAATGGAACAGTGTAAACATTAAACATAACTTAAGCTATTAAATGGATTACTCCTCTTACTGATTGGCACCTACATGGGAACAGTAGATGATGATCTCCCTTACCTGGGGTGGGGGAGAAAGGAGGACTTCTGTAGGAGCATAGTAACGGGAGTAACTTGTATCCTGATGGGAACAATAGGTGATCACCTTATGAAACAAGTGGGAAGGAGGAAGGGAAGAATCAAGAAGCCCCCTCATGGGGGTCTGATCATATTGGCTGAAATCTCGATGTTTTTTTTCTTCTTGGATTCCATTCATACAGTTGAAGCCCTTCCTACAATTAGGTCTTTCTTCATACTATTTAGTGAACATAATATATTGGGTATTGTTAACATTGTCCTACAGAATGCATGTGCTCATGTGCACTTGTTTTTCTTTGCAGAACTACATACTGTATATTAAATCCCTTCCTCACTGGGTTCCAGGCAACTAGGTAGCAAGGTAGAAAAATAACCCCCTCTTACTCAGGTTCTAAAGAGGCATGGTAATTAAATGCTGTTGAAATTTCCCATTTATACTAGAACTTGAGAAAATTGTTAATCTACATGGCCATATCTGAAATTCCTGTTGCTTGTGTAGAAGTCTAAACTTCTTCCCTGTGTCAGTATGCCCCAGCATATTTGATACTTAATAGAATTCCATGCAGCGTTTGTGCTTAGCAGTTCATATACTATACTAGCTATTGGGAAGGTTGAATGTGCAAATCATTTTTTTTTTTTTTTTAAATCCTAAAAAATATGACCATACCACATATACAATTTGGTTTGGGTTTTGTTCCTTAAATAGCTTAAATTTCATGCATTATACTTCAGAGCCAGGAAGATAAGATGTTAATCTATGAAGTCTGTGGTGCTTTTACCTACTGTCACCGTATTAGGCTTCAGGAAGAACAAGTCATGCTCAAATTTTAGGGTTTTTTAAAACTATATGCATCTAAAATCTTCAGGCACATGGTTTATCAATCTTTGTCTAAAGGCATTATGCCCAGTGAATTTATTGTCTATAAGCAGTTCAGGTTTTTTAGTATTTAATTTCAGAATGAGTTTTCTTAACTTATTGATGCCTGTAGGCCAGACCCATCAAAGGTTAATATTTTGTTTAACAAATTGTGTGTATGTGCTATTATTTACATAGTTTATATGTTGATGCATCAGCCCTGTCAAGCCATGTTGTCTGTAATCCCTGTAAAGCCCCCACAATTGAATGTTAAAATACAGCGCTTGGCTGACTGGGTGCATCTCCTGTCATTTGGGTGCTGTGACTAGTTGCTGAAAATAATTGTGCCATTGTCCAACAAATGCACTTGTTTTAGCCTTAATTCTTTTAAAGAGAAAACAAGCAGTTGAACATTTTTTCATTTGGTTCATCCTCAAGCTTGTGCTGCTGGTGTTTGCTAGAGCTAAACAGTTAATTTTAAGTGCTACCAGAATGTGTACCAAATTTTAAAAAAATAAAAATATATAAATTCCACAACCTAAATTTTAATTTTGTGCAATATTTTTCATTTAACGCATGTGTATTTGAATAACTATAAAATAAATGAATTTTTAATATTTTGAGATCTAGGTTAAACTGTTGTCTTAACCCAACAACTTGCATTCTGTTGTTGCATCAGTTTATTTAAGGACTTGTTTTAAAAGTCTTGTTTGTCACTCCTTATAAATTCTCTTGTTCTCAGTGATCTTTGCTCAGCTGAGCATGGCTCATACTACAAGAGAAAATCTAAAGAGCACATCTTATGAATATAGCTGTTATAAATGACTTGTGCATATCATTGTACAGTAAGTGTCAACTGTGTGCCTAATTGTTCTATTGATACTTCACCCCCTTTCTTTAACAAAGAATGAATATGAATGAGAATGTTATGGTCATTTTTACTGAACGGAAAAGAACTCTAAATTTTTATTTGGGGTTTGCATTATGTTCTGTCCAATAGAAAAGCTGAAAACTATTACACTAATAAAGTATTAACAGTATTTTTGTGAGTCTGTAATAGCTTTTTATTCTCAAATCACATCTGTTGAATACGACATCACAAGACAGGACTGAAATCACTACAGATCAATATTGTTGTTGGAGCTGGGCAAATTATTTAATCTATAACATATTTCCAGAAAAAAATAAAAATGAAGATTTGGCAACACTTAGGCATTTGACAGATTTGTTTTGGACTTTTGCTAGATTTTAATTTTTTTTAAATGTTTTAATTAATTTTTGCCTTTAATTTTTTGGTAGTTAAACTCTTGTATTTTGACATGTTTGAAATGAAACATCTTTAGTTTGGAACTGAAAACTACTTTGGAACTAATTTTCATTAAAAAACTCTTTAGTTTCATTTTTAATTTAAAACTGAGGTATTAAAATCCCAAGTTAGGACCTTTTCAGGTTGGATTGGTGTTTAACCCAAAAAAATCATTTTTTGACTTGTTGGGGAACTGGAAAAATGCACATTTGTGCAGCTTTCAGTATTACCTACTTAGTAGGAGTTCAGTTTGCAAATATCATAAGAATTCCCACTATTTTTACCCAAGATAGTACTGTAGAAACCTTCAAAACATTTGTGTGAGTTTTTTTAATATAATCCACTTCAGAGTCATGATGCACAGGTTTAGATCTGCACCTGCATTTTAAGAGAAAAGGAATAAAGCTGTATTAGATACAAATAACAGTAGACCATTCCCAAACGACTGTTACTTTGTGGAGGGGGGAAGGAGGGGAGAATCATTACCCTTCAGGTTTCTTTTTTCCTCCCTTGGGTTTATTTTCACAGCAGCTGGGTCTGCCGTGGAAGCGCAGTTGTTACCCTTGATATATATATATTCCAGCTGTTTCACATTCATCATAAAGATGTCCTGAGATCTTTGAGCCACAGAGATGTCATTTGTTTGACCCCGTGGTAAAATGTTTACTGTGCTGTTTTCACCTAATTTATACTCTTGTTATAGTCTATACGCACATTTCATCAGTTCACTGACCATTCATATTCATGCTTGTCTTTTCACACTACTGATTCCAAGACTAACTTCATAGCAAGGCATCAGAATTGATTAAACTTGCCCTCTAAATAGTTACCTTTTAAACAGTGCCTTTTCCTTCTGTTTGCATTGGCAAAGCTTAGGCACCAGCTAGTTACTAAACTAGTGGCTAAATGAGTGTTTCATTTAGTTTATTTCTCAAATATATCAGATTAAACCTATTTTACATTGTTTTGAAGAGGGAAGGTAGCTAGAATAATTTGTATCATTATGCACTCAGCCTCATTATTTCTAGTTTTAACTACAAACCTCTTACTGTAATTCTTACAGAAAAAGAAATTATGCAGTGAGAACAGTGTGAATCTACTCTTGCGAAAGACTGAAAACTAATTAAGGTTTAATTTAATAGAATCTTCCATCTATGCCGACTTCCACAATTCGGTACATGTGGATATTCATGGACTTTAATCCTCTAAAAGCTATGCAAACCTTTAAAAAAAAAAAAAATGTGGACTGATTTGAGGGTTCGATTTGTTTGGATATGTTGATTTCACAAATTCATTTCAGTTGATGCCAAATTTCAGAACTTGACATTTAAATTTAAAAGCCAAAAGTAGAACAATTGTATAGAATTGGATACCACTCTTCTATACAGAATTAGTAGTCCCATTAAAAATCATGAACTTTGTTCAAACAAAGAACACTTATGTTTAGTTTTTTAATTGGAATTTTATTTGCCGCCTTTTTTCTTTTTTGCCTTTTAACGTACGTTCAGATCATGTTTTTTAGACCAACCAAGAAGGCTAGGCCAGGTTTACCCTAATTTTAAAAGAAAGCAGAGTTGCAAATGAAAGGTTTAGTAAATACCGTATGTCATGCGACTTACGAAATTTGAGAGTTGACAGTATGTATGTTCACTCAGGGTATAGACAAGATCAGGTCCTTAGCCATGAGAGGCTTCTTGTTTTGTTATCTGAAGTGGAGAGATACTAAGGGAAAAAATTACTTTTTCTGTTTAGCCCTGCTTCTCTGCACTAATGTCTGAAGTGATGCATACCAAATTTAACGTAAATCTTATTTTTGTCAGATTCCCCTCCATTTCATTAGTCTTTTTTCTCATGCCTCTCTTAGAGAAGCTGGGTGCATCTACAGGTACACTTTAATGTTCGTGAAAGCAGGCTAATGCACATTGAAGTGTACAAAAAATCATACACTTGCTAATGTGCATGAAAATAGGCTAATGTGTCTTTTTCCAGTATCTCACAATGGAGGTACTAAGCTTAATGTGCATTAGCAAGAGCACATTAATAAACATGTAAACAGAGTAGTTAAATCCTTTTATCAAAGAATTTTTCTCCCTTTGTTTCAGGAATGTAAATAGCAAAACTTAGTCTTATTTAAAGAACTTGGTACAAGTCCTTTCCTCACACTTAATCAAATTTTAGTTTCAAGTTGTTTTAAATAAACTAGTTCTTTAATGATCTCTTGAGTGTTTCAGCAAACAAGGCCTGACACTGCTAATATAGCTGTGGTGGAAGCAGGGAAGCCTTGGGAAAATAAAACTAGAGGTGTCATTCTGTATTACCCCTTGTACCTTGTGTGATCCACTGCAAAGTAGATTCAAAATACTATCACTTTTGATTTGGTATTGCTTTACACGAATCTTACAATCACCTTTTCCAATGCAACAAAGAATGTTGCTCTGAGGTTTTTTTCCCCCTACATATTTACTCCATAAAGAAGTTAAAAATTTTTTTTTAAATCCTACATCGACATCTGTACTGATACTTATTAGGTACTATACCCTAAATACCTTGCAAATAGGCTTAAGTGCAACTAATTAGACTTCATAGAAGTGAGGACTTGACTACTTAAGAATTCCTCCCTCTGCCTTTCCTTGCCCCAGTGCCCCCAACCGGAGTCCTCAGCTTCCAGTAAAAAAAGAAAAAAAAAAAAAAAAAAAAAAGTTCAAGATCAGTTTTTACCTGGACTAGAGTCATTGGATCTCTACATTGGGCCACAGGAGTAGTTATGCTACGATACAGAACTCATGAGGTTCTTAAACAAAATAAAGAGCATTCCTGAAGCACTGAGATCTGGTGGTGACCATGCTGTCTCAAAATAGTCACCTGAGCATCATTAATTGCATTATACTGCAATCTGAAGGCAATGGCAATTGGAAACGGAAGTAAATCCAAAAATGAACAGATGAGCTTTCCTGCCGAAAGTGACTTGAATAAGCTGCAGTACAGTGCATATCTACATCACTCTTCACCTCATACATAGGCCTTTTGAAGTCTCCAGAATATGTTGCATCTTTTTAAAAAGTATCCAAAGGTTCAAGTGATATAAGGAACTAAATCTACTGAAAGAGAGTTGATGAACTCCTTCCAAGAGAAATGGTGGAATTGTCTTTTTATTTTGATCCCAAGGTTCTTTGCTTGCCATGGAATTAATCTTGAGCATTCTTGTGAGCAGTGTTGGCTTACCAAGGAACAAAAATTTGAAAGGTACTTGAGCAATGGTCCCCTTCACGGGTATTACAGGCAACACACTGTCCATTGACATTGACTGTGTCACAACCATAGAAGATTAAAAAGTTAAAACTGGGATTGATGGGGAGAATGAAGAAAGATGTCCACAGCATATTACTTGTTCAGTTTTGTTTGTTTGTTTTGTTTTTGTGGGGGCAGGGGGGCTGCAAAGATTGAAAACAATGCTGTAGAGAATCTCTGTTTAAAACTTTTAGGAAGTATAGTATGGTGGCAATATTCAGAGCTGTGTTTGGCTAAATGGCTATTTTAGCTTTTGAGATAATACTATGAGGGAGGTAAAAGTAGAAGTATCTACAAAGAAGGCAAATAATTCGTGCTGTTTCAGTGCGTATCATCAAGCATCAGTCATTTAAATTCCTAACAAATATTTAACTAAAAAGCATATTTCTTTATTAATCTGAGCTAATACTGTTATGGCAAAGCTCAAAGCTTTGGCAATAATATAAAACTACATTTCAAGATTTAATGTGAAAATATGGATTAGTCAATGGAGCAGTAGTTCCAAATGTTGAATTAATAACTCTCTCAGGAAACTGGCAGCACTCTAGGTCTCTACAAGTCAATAAACCATTTAAAAATACTTCAGTAGGTCAGTTACTCAAAGGTAGGGTGGCAGGGAATGGACTTCTGCATAGTCTGAAAGCTGAATTTTTATATCTCTTACTTTAAAGCACTTTTCAGCTGGTCAGCTCTAAATGGAAGCTCTGTTACACTGGCATAAGAATCGGTACCTGTGACCTGTGGGTTAGTTACGAGCGGTCAGATCAGTTGCAAGGCATTTCTGCTCCCTTCTTGAATCCAAATGAACTTTATTGCAACTCTAAAACTATTTTTTGTGAAAAGAGTAAAAAGAGTAAGTTTTTTGTTAGTGAGTAAAAATATGTGCTTGGATCATGTAAGTAGTGGACTCTAAAAAGCATAGCAGACAGTTGAAGAGAAAAAAAAAAAAGCATGGTTCTCCACAAACAGTGGGTCCAGGTCTGGATATCTCTGCAAGGGACTACTTACAGCAGGTTTCTGATGGGGAAGGAGAGGCAATATCTCTTAACTGGCAGACTCAAGTGATTGATTTAGGGGGGGTATGAGGGCAAAACCAGTAGTTTATATTCAATTTAGAAATGGTGGGGAGCTGGTATAGGCATCAAATGTCCCTGGTAGGAAATTTCACCCAAGTTGGTTGCTACAATATACATCAGGTTTAGCTGCTTGGGCGGATTAAGGATTGCATCCCTATGCAGTATTCACTGAAGTGCTCTGGGTGGAGGTGACAAAAACAATATTGAAGATCTGTGAATTCTGTATCTCAGAGGAACTTGCATACTTCTGGCTAGATAGAGATGTTGGGGAAGGTGATACTGGTTACTTTCACTAACTTGATCAATTTGAAATCCAGAGATCCATTCAGACTCATAAACTTACAAGTAACCAAAGATGGGCACTCAAAAC